TAAAGTTCAGAAGTTTCCGCTGCTGTCTCGTAGGTGGCAGCGGTCTGGCGTCAGGGCTGGGCTGGAGGCTGCTGGTGCCGGCTTCCCTTGGACTGGCAGATGCGGGCGAGATGACCCTGTTTTCCGCATGTGTGACACGTAGCATCGTGGAACCTGCAGGACTTACGCTGGTGCGTCTCTCTGCAGCTGGCACACGTGGAATGGCTTGGTGGTCTTTCCGAAGGATCCTGATGCTGCAGGTCCCGGTGGCTTTCGGTGGGAGGGCAGGCGGATGAGATGGACGCCGAGTCGGGGAGCACGAGATGAGATGCAAATGAGGGACAGTCGCAGTGGGAGGCCTCGTGTGTGATGGTGAGTTGGAGGGCCTCATCGATCTTGATGTCGGCGGTACTGATCATCTTCCTCTGCAGCTTTATGTCGCTGAGGCCCCAGGTGAATTGCGTGAGGAGGTTCTCCTCCACCTTGGTGAAGGCACAGTCTATAGCCAGCTGGCGCAGGGCTGCCATGAAATCAGCAGCCGACTCATCTGGTTTACGGACACGGCCCTGGAACTCTATCCGTCTGGTGAGTGTTGTTGGCCGGGGCGTGAGGTACCTTGTCAGGGCATCGATGATGTCCTCGTAAGAACACTCAAAGATCGCCTGGGGTGCGAGGAGGCTCTTCGCGAGGCGGACTGTGTTCATGCCACAGGAACTGAGGAGAAGGGCCCATTTTTTACCCGGATCAGTTCGGGGTAGGGTGGGATATAAATCCAAACATAAATAAATAAATAAAATAAATCATTTTAGGCGAGGTGGCAGGTCAGTTGGTCTGTCCACGAGTCCCAGAGTTCGGGATGGGCTGGATCGAAGATCTCCAGATTCCCTCGAGCGGAGGCCATGGCTTAGTGTGGAGCATGGAGCAGTGTCCTTGATGCGGTGTGTGGTGCGGTGCTGCTTGGGAGTGGTGTGGGGCATGGTTGTGTCGGCTGGAACGAAGCTCGGTGCTGCGCTGGGATGCGAGCCAGGCCTGGGTCAGCGGAATCCCATCCTCATCGCCACTTCCTTCAGTCCTTCCTCCCCCATCTTTCTTTCTTTCTGAAAAGTACTCGGTTCGCCGCATGGAGGACTCGGACAACGACATGCGTTTGCACACGTTTATTGTACTTAACACTGAACTGCAAAACAGCCCTGCAAGGCCAACTATATACACAACCACCCAGCACACCCAGAGTTCCATTGGAGGGTTTGAATTTTCCGCCAAAGTTTCTATTGGTTCATGCTGGGGGAACTAGGATCCTAAGTTCCTATTGTTTGGAGGAACTAAGCTCTTGCTTGTAGCCGCGGACCCCTAGTGGCGATCCACGTACATAACACTTTCTTTCTTTCTTTCTTTCTTTCTTTCTTTCTTTCTTTCTTTCTTTCTTTCTTTCTTTCTTTCTTTCTTTCTTTCTTTCTTTCTTTCTTCTCTCTCCCCCCTCCCCTCCCCCCATCTATTTGCTTTGTTTCTCTCTCTGTCTCTCTCTTCCCCCTCCCTCCCTCCCTCATTTGTGCTCTCTCTCTCTCTCTCTCTCTCTCTCTCTCTCAGATAGCCAAATTGGTCTACTGTCAAATCCAGAACAAGAAAAAACACTCAAATAGTGAGCAAACTTTCAGTTAACATAAGTCACCCTGACCCTTCAGACAGAGCAAAACAGGCAACTACAAAGTCAGGAAAATTATTAATTAGAGCAGAAATAAATTCTGACCCCCATATGCCAACTGTTCTAAAAATTCTGCTATGTAAATGATGCTGCTGAATGTCCTTTAGATATTTTCAGAATAATATACTATTATTGCACAATATTTGATATCGATATCCAATGACATTTGATTCCAATGCGTGAAGTAGCAGTATGTAATAGTGGATAAGTAAAGGTCACTAGTATTAAACAGAATGGATATGCATTGATATATTATAGTGGTTTTTGAAATTTCTTTCTGCTGGGAACACTTACCTGGTTTCTCAACTCAAGGAATGGCTGCTTTACAAAGTTCATGATTTTTATAACTATCATTTAATACATGTAAAAATCACATCTGCAAGCCAAGCAGATGCTGTACCACTGAGCAACAGCCACATATAATATTCTGTATATTATTTATTGTTCCTATATATTATTTTTTCTAGGGTTGTTATTTTGGAGATTAATTTTAGTTTATGTCCTAGGTAAATATTCAATAGAAGCCAGAACTGTGACACCCCTTTCCCACTTACTGAGAGACCCTGTCACCCTCCACAACCTCTGTCACACAGATTCAGGGTTACACGTAGGACAGTCACAGTTTGCCACCCATCTTGTGTCTTCTAAAATATACAGAGTCTGGACCCTTTCACACACCAGGTCCTCCCTCTCTCAGTCACAGAGACACCACTAGACAAGGTAGCCCAGTGCCCTTTAACAATCACCCCACAGACACCACACGGATTGGGACTCGCTCAGCCACTGCTTCACTCACATGCTGCCAGAATTGACTAATATCATAATATATAAAAACTATGGTCTTGGTTTGTGTGTGTGTGTGTGTGTATGCTTCTTTCCCTGAGACCAAACAGATCCCGCTCACAGGGTTAAACAAACAAGGATTTAATTCTTATTTACAGTTTGAACACAACACCTGAGTGAATCAGGTAGATTACAGTGTTTCATAGCTCCATTCAGGCAGGATTCTTTGTTACAAACTGACTTTCTTCTAGTCAGCATTAGGCTGCTCTTCTGCCACACCCCTCCCTCAGCCAGTCTCACTACCCTGAAGGAAGGACTGTTTTCAACTATCAGCCTCTCACCAACATTCCATCCACTCCCGTTGGTCACTCTTAGGGAGAGGCAGAACCTAACCTGTCTGTCACAATGACCTATTGAGCATCATTTTCCTGGGGTCATTTTGTTCCTGTTGTTGAATTGCTCTCTTTATCAGATTCAGGTGGGTAGCCGTGTTGGTCTGAAGCAACTGAACACGGTTTGAGTCTGGGTATAAGCTTTTGTATCTAATGAAGGGCCACTGGACTCAGGTACCAGAAATAGCAAGCAGCAGAGCTGATCCAAGCAAAATTCATTTACTTCATTTACCATGCCTTTCTTCCCAACAGGGTCCCAAAGTGGCTTACATTGTTCTCTTCTCCTGCATTTTATCCTCAGATCAACTCTGTGAGGTACGTAGCTTAGGCTGATAGCTTGTGACTAGCACAAGGTCAACCAGTGAGCTTCCACGGCAGGGTGGGGATTTGAACTTGAGTCTCCTGGATCCTAGTCCAACACTGTGTATCTTGGTTGGTCTTTATAAAAGGTTTCTGTTTTTGCTTTGGACCACCAGTGTGGCTACTTGCCACCTCCTTCAGAGGCAGAGGTCTGATGTATTGAATTGTCTGTTAACAGGATTTCCTCCAGTTAAGAATGTTGTAAAATACAAGACTACAAAGTTCCCTCTACTAGTGATTAGCAGAAACATTTGAGTGACCTAGTTTATAAGCCTGAACGCTGCCATTGTCTGTTTAGTAATAAATATGTGTTCAACTTCAAAAGCTTTCTGGAACCATCTGAGAAACAGCAGAGCTCCGCAATTGGCAGAGCTTGTTACATATCTAGCATGAAAATAAAGGATTGGTGCTCAGTGAAAGGAGCCGACCTGAGCTGAAGAGCTACAGCTTCAGGCTGATTGCTCTGCAGTGCTAGAAGAAACTAGGGCAGAACTTTAAAATATGCATCAAATGCACTACTGGGTGAAAGACAACTTTCAAAACATCTGTTCCCAGACATCTGTATTCAGTACTACTTGGGGAAAAGATCACTTTCAGAACTCTCTGGACCAATTTATATTCCACATGACTAGGAAGTCTGTCTGTAATTACAGACAATACAAGCAACACAGCCCTGGCTCTTGCAAGAATGTGTTTACCCGTAGGCTAAAACCTTTGTGTTTTGCTCGCCTCGTTCTGGTAGTCTTGCCACAAGGGCGGGGCTGTGAGGTGGATTTTTCTTTCCGACTTTTACAGTGATCTGTTCCTAAAGCGTTCTATATAATAACAGTGCCAAATCTCAAACAAGCGAGTCATCTTGTCAACGTCTTACGAAATTATCCGAATGTTTTTACACGATCTGTGTTATTTCCTTTAGTAACATTTCTTCAGTGAACTGCAAATTGCACTTTTAATAAATTCTGACCTAAAAGTCTGCGCTGGGCGGAGAACAGAAAATAAAGAACCGTTGAAACAAAAGGTCTGACTCTTAATTCTAGAGAGGAGAAAGAGGCGGCGGGAAGGAGACGGTGATTATATAATAGTGACGGAAGCGCACTCTGCACATTTTTAGACGCTTTCCTCGTGCTGTTAATATTCAGAAACGTTTTCCAGGACTGAAAAATGGCATCGGAGACAGGTTTCAGGGCTGATCCGTAACGAGCTCCAAATTAAGCCCTGAAAAGCGCATTTCCCCGCCCACTTCACAGCAGAGCCGTCACCTTCCTCCTCCGCTTCCACAACTGAGTGGGTGGTCCACGTGACTAAGTCGTACTGCGTGACTTTCCGCACGCTCCTCTCCCTCGAGGACTACTCCCTTCCTGCGCTCAAACTTCTCTTCCCAGCAAGCCGTGCGCAGAAAACCATGCGCTTATTCGCGCAAAACTACTGCTCCCGGCGTGCCAGCTTGGACTACAACTCCCAGTGCGTTAAGAGACGCCTGCGCCGTGGCTGCTGGCGCTCGGGCCATTTAAATGTGTGTGAGGGAGACGGTGAAATGGCTACGCAGGTCGCTGCAGTGCGCGCCGTGTCCCGGGGCGCGGAAGAGACGCCCCCGCTCCCCCTCGGGGACCGGCCTGGCCGGCCGAGGGGAGGAGGGAGGAAGCGGAAGGGCCCGCCTGGGGAGCCGGGGGGGTGTAAAAGGGCCAAGCTGAGCCAACAGCCGCTCCTGGCAGGGCCCGGTCAGGCGGAGCCGCTGCCTCCAGCCACCCTCCCCGGCCTCCCGGCCGTCCCCACCGTCCCTCCCTCCGCCGCCGCCGCCACCACCGGCCTCTTCACTTTCTCCCCCCTCAGCCTCCCGCCGCAGGCCCCACACTGCGAGCGGCGGCATCACCACAGGCACCGGCACCACCCGGACAGCAGCGGCTCCGAGCCTGGCCGCTCCTCCGGCGAAAAGCCGCACAAAGGCCGGCGGGGAAGCTCCGGCGACGGCGCCGTCGTGCGGCCCAGTAAACGAGGTGAGCGGCGGCGGCGGCGGCGGGGGCCGTGCGGGGTAGGGCTCTGGGCAGCCGAGTTGGCTTCGGCCGTCGTGCGCTTGGCGACCCCGCTGGGCTGCGCAGCCCTGTCGGGTCCTTGAGCGTTTCCTCCAAGAGGTCAGATGGAGGCGTCTCTTAAGGAACTTGACGTTCAAAGTATGGGCGACTGGATGGCGGGCCCGGCCAGGCAGATCGTTATAGGTTGTACTTGGTACTGTGGGGGGCATGAAGAACTTTCCGCTGCAAGTCGTGCGCTAAGGTCGAGGTTTGTGTTGCACCTGTCGAAGGGCTCTACCTTGACACCTGTCACTCTGCTAGCCGACACCCTTGTTGGAAACCTAAACTGCCCCAGGACCTGTTGGAGCACTCACTTTTATATTTTTGTCTTAGTAGTATTTCTTTATTACCTGCTTGTACTGTGTCTTCTTTCAGATATGCATGATGACTCGTCTGCCCCCTTTTCAAGTTCACCCTGATCAGAGTGCTCTGAAGTTCACCCTGATGCTGTGTCCTTATCAGTTTCTCATTCAGTTTAATCTGTAATCTGTTGATCTTGAGGTGTCAAGTAATCAGATTGTCTCAGGAGGTTTTCTTTATTCAGGCAGCCTGTCCCTCAAAATCTCAGTTCTGTGGAAGTGATAATAGATGTTTTCATGAATTTTAGGTTACTGTCAATTTTTTTATTGCAGAGTATTTATAGTCTTTTCACAATTATCTTTCCCAAGCTTCTTGCTGTTGATCTCAAAGATCTGAAGTTTATTCTTGCACTGTTGCATAGTTTCTGCAGCTTTGCAGGTGCTTGTAAGGAAATTCATGTTAAGCATAACTTTAAATTAGTAGGAAATTGACATGGGCATCATGCATGCTTGTCTGGAACAGCAGCTGTACATGCTGCTATACAGACTTCTAGAACTCTTGGTTAAGATAAACCAGTGTTCCTTGGATGTTTAAAATATAAATGTGTCATAGGTAATTCTTGAAATTATTGTGCTTAAAAATCCATTTAAGATAACTTGTACCTGTCATGTTTTTAGTAGTTTTGGTTTCCAAGCCAGTTGACTGCTATTAATGCTTCTGTAATTTTAAGGGAGCTGCATATTTAGTTTTGGAGTTGCTTGTTAGATACTCATGTTTCGAAAACACATGGTCTAGTTGAGATATATCTGTCATTACTGCAAATGTCTCTGAAATGGCTGAACTACAAGTCATCAAAAAGTACATCAACAGTCTTGGTAAAACCTGTACCCCACAGCCATTTCTGGTGTTAATTAGTTTAGCAAAACAAGAGAATGATTTCTGTACTTCACTTGATTATATTTGAATTTTACACAACTACATCTCGCCTTGAGCTTCCTGCATTTCATGGCCCTTTAACCCTGCTGTTCCATTTTTTCTCCATAACCTCATATAAATGTCTGCCTAATAAGGATCCACTAGTACATGTAAACTTATGCTGGAATAAAATTTTAGATTGTGCCAGAAGAGTGCAGTTTGTTTTTGCTGCAAGAGACTAACATAACTACTTTGAATAATCTGTGTTTAATGGGTGGGGAGTAATGCCAACAATTTATTCTTAAAGGATGAAGGCAAGACACTATAAGGTCACAAGAACAAACCTTGTTGGCACCTAGGAAAGTTTGACTTAGAATTTCAGATTCCTGTTCTGAGTCTCATACAGTCGCATCAACTGTAGTAGCTGCTTGGTGCGATTGAGCTAATGTGTGGTGCTGAGAACAAAAGCACTATCTCTAAGTTTGACTTAAATATCCTCATTTTGATAGGTGAGACAGAAGTGGTGCACTGTTACTCTTCTAGAATACTGTAGTATTATACTAGACTTTTTTAGACTAGGCAGTAGTGGACTGTAGATTCCTATAGACTTCAGCATGAAAGATGTCTACATAAATAACTCAACTCTAATTGTGCACAGTAGCAATTGGACACGATTAAACCTCTTGAATAGTGAATTCACTAAATGTCATGATGGCAACATGATCAAAGATAGTGTTGAGAGAATACAACCGTGTTCTTTAGCAGTACCCTTGAATAGCCAAACTTTTTGTACTAATTATGGTCACAATTTTGGAACTTGGTATGTGTACTCTAAAGAGGCAACAAACAAGAGTCTTAATGTGAATTAAATAATCTCTAGCCATTCTGTTGTTTCTCTCATTCCTTCCCCCTTCCAGTTGAATAAAGAATCCATCCACAATCTACTTCATACGTGATTGTAAAATCGCTGGCTAGTAGTCAAGAATTTCTACAGTGGCAGGTAACAACAACAGATAAAATACAAAAATATTAATACTGAATTAATTGAGAAACAGGTAAGCCATAAGAACTTAAGAGAAGCCAATGTTGGATCAGGCCAATGGCCCATCCAGTCCAACACTCTGTCACACAGTGGCGAAAAATACCAGGTGCCATCAGGAGGTCCAGCAGTGGGGCCAGGACACTAGGAGCCCTCCCACTGTTGACCCCCCTCCCCATGCCAGAGCCCATTCAAACTGTCCCATAAAGTATATTAAATAATTCTGACTTAAAGCCTTGCCAGAAGCCCCAAGAGTAAGTGCCTGGCTCACCTCTTTTGGGAGGCCATTCATAACAGCAGAATGGTGATAAAAGGGCCTGGGCTGTCACAGACTGTATCCTCAAGAATGAGGAAAGTTAGGAGAGCCTGCTGTAAGGGAGCACAATTGCTGTGCAGGTTCATATTGGGAGAGGTAGTCCTTCAGCTATGTCAGTGGTTCCCAAACTTATTTGGCTTACCACCCACTTTTCAGAAAAAAATTTACTCAGCATCCCCCTGGACAAGAAGTGGACAAAAAGGTGCAGTTTGTGGATCTACACCTGGATCGTTCCAGCCCACCTGGATGGTTCCAGTGCCCCCAAGGGGGCGGTATTGCCCACTTTGGGAACCAGTGAACTATGTAGATCCCAAGTCTTGAAGGGCTTTAAAGGTGCACCACCACTTTAAATTTGACCTGGAAATAAACAGTCAACCAGTGAAGAGACTTCAAGACCAGTGTAATATGTTCCTGACAGGCAGAGACTGATAGCTGGTAGAATACTACATTTTGTACCAACTGAAGTCTACGGATTGCCTTCAAGTGCAGCCCCAGTTATAATTTTTACAGTAATCTAGCCTTGAGATTACTATTTCACAAATCAGATTCTGCAGAAATGTATTCTGAGTTAAATGCAGCTGGGAAAAAAGAGGCATTTTTTGCTTCTGTATCTTGGACAAATAGAACTTTCAAGCTGTTAATTGAGCCCTTCAATGAAAGTTGTACCACAGGAATAATGGAGAAAACCAGGGGTCATTTCCTGCAGGAGCGCACAGGAGCAGAGCTCCGGCTGTAAGGAGCCCGGGGTGGGCACATGCAACAAGCCCCACCCCCTGCTCCCAGCAGTCCTCAGTCGAGCCATGAGGAGCAAGAAGCAGCCAGGTAAGTTGCAGAGTCCCTGCCCAGCCCAACTTCAGGTACAAGCTCTCCCTCCTCTGTGAGGGCAGATCTGTGCTCCCCCCGCCCCCCGAAGTAGCCATCCAAAACAGTCCAGTGGCACCTTTGAGACCAAGTTTTATTCAGGTGCAAGCTCTCCCCTCCACTGTGAGGGCAGATCTGCACCCCCCCCCCCCCCACAAAACAATAGCTAGCAATCCAAAACAGTCCAGTGGAGCCTGAGCGGTGTGTGTTGCCTTCTGACACACTTCCGGTGATGTCAGGATGTGTGGCATATGCAAATACGTTATGTTCATAAGTTATGTTAATGAGCTCCTGTACCTCATTTTCTACGAAATGACCCCTGGAGAAAACTATCCCATTCATTGTTGACATCTTGCCAATCAATATCACCTTTGTCTTAGCTAGATTAGTTTTCAGTTTATTTGATTTACTTTATAGTTTCTCAGCCTTTGGTTTGTAAGACCTGAGCAAGGCTATTAATTATAAGGTGTTTTGGAGGTCATTAATTCATAGGGTCTCCATAAGTCAGAAATGACTTGACAGTACTTAACGTGCACAACATTATTTGTTTTTCTTGCTGAGACTCGGGGTGAATTACACAATTTAGCTATGCAATAGGAACAGTATAAATCATAAGACTGTATTATGAAAACTTATGCAATAAAAACTGTATATGGCTTGATATAAGAAATGCAAGAACTAGACTACAGAAATTAGAAAACAGTACAGTAAAACCAAGAGATCGATACAAGGAACAGTGTCTTAGGTTATAGCCTCTGTCCCCTTGTGCAAGCGTTGTCCTGATCAGGGGTCATTTAGTAGAAAAAGAGCTGCAGGAGCTCATTAGCATAAGGTATGCTAATGAGCTACTAGGCTATTAGCATAATAGCTCATTAGGATATGCCACACCCCCTGACATCACCGGAAGTGATTTTAGAAGGGGAAGCAAAAGGGGGGGAAGGCATCTTCAAAAGCCTCCCCTTCCCTTCCCCAGATGGCCTGGGGGGGGGGAGAGAAGAGAGAAGGGGTTTAAAGTTTAAACCCCTTCTCACTAAAGTTGGGCTGCAGAAGGTGGAAAGAGGGAAGGAAAGACAGAGAGTAGAGAGAAGGAAAGAAGGAAGGAAAGGGAAAGAAAGAAAGAAGGGAAGAAAGGAGGAAAAGAGGAAAAGGAGAGAACGAAAGGGGGGAAGAGAAGAGAAGAAGGAGGGAAAGAAAGAAAGAGAAAGGAAGAAGGGAAAGAAAGAAACAGGGCAAAGAGATGGGGAGAGGGAGGAAGGCTCTCCCACCCCCCATCAAGCCCCCCCACCCCCCGCGGATCCCTCACTTACCACAATCAAGGCCTTCCCCAGGCCTCAGCGTTCAGGCGCTGGCCCCAGGAAGCCAGCAACGGGCCTCCTCAGGCCTCCCCTGGGCCGCAACGCTCCGGTGCGAGCCCCAGGATACCAGCAACGGGCCTCCTTGGGCTGCAGTGCTCCGGTGCGGGCCCCGGGATGCCGGCGATGGGCCTCTTCAGGC